AACCCGCACGATTAATAATTGGGTAATTTTCGGGTCAACTCGTTTTGACCCGTTTATTAAACGGGTGGGTTTCGGGTCAACCCGCCAACCCGTTAAAACACATGTGTAATCCGTTTATTAAACGGGTCGTGTCAACCCGTGTAAGACACGTCAACCTCCACCATCCTCATTACTCTCCAACAACTTATCCACCATGCTAGATACAACTTTGTGATTATATACTATGCCTTTTGACATTTATAATGTTTCTTTTTCTTTCTTTTCCGTCTATCTTCTCCTCTATCTTTTTTAATTTCTTTTCCTTCTCTCTTTTCTCCTCTCTTATTTTTTTTTTTTTTCTCTCTCCCCTTTTTTATTTTTATTTCTCTCTCTCTCTCTCTCGCTCTCTCTCTCTCTCCTTTTTTTTCTTTCTTTTCCGTCTATCTTCTCCTCTATCTTTTTTAATTTCTTTTCCTTCTCTCTTTTCTCCTCTCTTATTTTTTTTTTTTTTCTCTCTCTCTCTCTCCTTTTTTTTCTTTCTTTTCCTTATATTTTCTCTCCTTTCTCCGTTTTTTTGATTTAAATTTTTTCAGTTGTGACTCTTGTAACATGCATGTTATTATTTATCAACCCGTTACACGACTCGAAACTCGCACGATAAAAGACGACCCGAACCCGACACGACACGTTTATTAAAGGGAGTTTCACTAAAACACCCAAAATGGGAGTTGAAATTATAAAAAAAACCCAAGCACTATTTAAACATATAAACACACCCAAAACCTATCATTACACACACTTAAAACCCATTTATAAACACACCCAAAAAGTTGACTTTGGGGTTGATTTTGGGTGTGTTTCTATGTTTAAATAATGCTTGGGTTTTTTTATAAATACATGTCTAGGATTGGGTTTATTTATAAATTTGTATTTATTAAATGGGTTGGGTTCGGGTTGAGCATTCTTGACATGTTTAATATCCCGACACGACACGAACCCGACACGACCCGACCCATTGCCAGCCCTAGTTTTGGTGTGTTCTGAAGTGGTTTTGGATTCAAGCTCCCATGGCGAGTGTGTGAGGTTTTCCTAGGGGTGGGCTCTCAAACCGGCGAATGGGAAATCCGAGCCGAACAACACCGAACCAAACCGGAAAAAAATCGAGTTGACCAAAAAGTCAACAATCGGTCAAAAATTGAACCGGATCGGTTTGGACCGATTCCGAATCCGGTTCCATGTCTTCAAAAATTGAATCGGGCCAGTCGAACCGGTCAAATTAAAAATATATATAATTTCAATATATAATTATATTTAATGCTATATTTTTAATTTCACAAAAAGAAAAACTAATATTTATCCAAGTTCAGTTTCAAAATATCTCTCTTTTCTCACTTTAATATTTATTTTTATATGAAATTTAATAATTTGTTAATTTTTAAGTAAAAAAATAATACTTTAGTTGAGAATTGTATTAAAAAACAATATAAAAAAATAATTTTTATAATCCAGTTCAAAACCGAACTGGAACCGAAACCGAACCGGACAGTTTTTGAATTTTTTTTTATTAAAACCGAACCGAACCAAACTGGATGAATAGTATTAGATCAGTTCCAATTTGAGACAAAAATCGATCCAACCCGAACCGTGCCCATCCCTAGGTTTTCCCACTTTTCCTTCCTAAATTCAACAACAACAACAAACAAAAAAAAAAAAAAAAAAAAAAAAAAAAAAAAAAAACCAAAATCCCAATAAATACCATTAACTAATTTAAATGTTTAAAAATTACTTACTAAAACTACTCGAGGTCTTAATGGGAATTTTTCATATATATAAAGCAAAATACATAGAATTGTGAAACATTCAAAATACCAAAAAATATCCTTAATTAATATACAAACTGTTGAGGCCCAAAATGTCACAAGAAGCCTAATATAACATATAATGTTGGTCATGCGTTAATCCAAGCTATATTTTGGGAATTAATTCATTAAATAAATATAGAAAATAATGTATATGTTATAAATCTATGGAATGTGAATGATCACCATAACATCCATTACCTTCACCTCTTATTGCTTTGTATAACCTTATTATTGTAATTAGTAGCTATAAATTGTGGGTTAAATACCTCTATTGTAAGCCTATAAATAGGCGCTTATAAAAAATGAATCAGATAGGTTGATACAAGTTCATAGACCAAATTCTTTGTATTTATCTTCCTTTTATTGCTGTCTACAATTCCCTCTAGTTTTATAATACGTTATCATCACGATATTGCTCTTGGTATGTTTTCTTTCTCTGAATTTTCTTTCTTTTTATATGAGCTAGAGTCATCACATGATATATAATTTCTTTGTACTCACCATCAGACTTCATCATGCTTGTTTAATAAATAAAACAAATTCTTATTCTTATTACACATGAATATAATGGCATTATTTTTTTATTTGCTTGTTTATTTAATTTATGTATGATCTTAATTATTATGATGAGTTTGTATTATACAAAAAATCAGGGCCCGAAGTTCCTTGATCCTTATCATATAACTAGATTAATACCTAGAGTTATTTTGATTGAGTCAGAACCTGAAGTTATTTAATTCCAAATAGTTGAGGGCGTGAAGTTTTACGAATTTAAAAAGCACATAAGGACATGAAACTTCTTGATTTTGTATGAATCAAAATTAGAATTCCATGAGGCCTACATATGTTAAGAACCCGAACCAGAAGTTTCGAGTGCATATATATCGATTTGAGTTTGAATTTCAAAGCACAACTATTAATTCAATTTATTTAGATCTATGTATTTGAACCTGAAGTTTCGAATATATGTTGATATGAAGTTGAAGTTTATAGTTTTTCATGGATCTTAATACTATATATGAACCTGAAGTTTATTACTTATTTGTGAACTTAAACTGGTTGGAAATCCAATTTTTAAACTTGTAGTTTTATCTACATATTGAATCCACATTAATATTGGATTATCTTGGAATTTCATAGTCTTTAATTTATTTATTTTATTCCTCGTTTATACCACTTTACTCATTTTATTTTATGTATATTGGGTTATTAGTTAATTTCGTTTTACAATAGTAATGTTTTGTATTACCACCCCAATATTGACAGCCAAATGCGTCTATTGGAGAAACTTCCTACCTTCTTTTGTGGGTAGAAAGTTTATGATGTCATGAACCAGAAGTTCATGAGGCCCCAATATTACACAACTATTAAAGTAGTTGAAGATTATGATGTCATAAACCAGAAGTTTATTGACTGAATAACTTTTATGTTGTGGTATGACTGTCTTGGCAATCCATATTCCACAATGATACATAAGATTTTTATAAATTTGTAAGGACATCGTTTAAAGACTCAAAATATTGTCTTGTCCAACAAATATCATTACAAAGAATGCTCACAAATAAAAGTTGTCATAAGATCATCTCAGTCAAAAATTGACTTTGAGCCATCTTTCCTTAAATAATTCAAAGGGATATTTGTGAGTCTATACAACATTTAATTATGGATCACTTCACTAGTTTTATTGAATGTGCCCACTAAAATGGTTACATATTTGTCTCTTGTCAAGATGCTTACGAGCACAACTCCCACATTATCCAATCCAGTCAATTTGACTTGATAATGATGGTGAGTTTATTTTCCTACATTTTGAGACAATTTTTCGGCTGTTAGGGGGAGAAATGGCAGTTCCTGAAGAACGTCGTGAAATACTGTTGAATCGGTCTGCTTTTGTCTCATCAAGATAATGCATATATGAAGTTATGAATATGCAAGCATGGATTGATATTCATGTATCACAATCCATTAACATGACAATAAGTGACTATATATAATGCATGCCTGGAGCATGACAAAAATATAGGTTCTAAAAACTTAACTCCCTAGAAGCGGAGATTATTTGAAAAATTCAAGCCCTATAAAAATAACGCTCTTTAGGAGGTTATGATCCACATATTCTAATTAATTCATCGTAAAAGAGATGTTTGTCCCATAAGTGACAACATAAGCCCCTGAAGAGACATTGGTACCCCAAAGTAATGAGATGCTTATAAATTATGCATGCGCATGCACATGAGAATTGTGGGATCACGAATTGATAATACATTTGGTTTATTAGTAGCTACTACAATCATCAAGGGCTATGATTATATTACATCTTGCCTTATGAATGTCGACAAGTTAAGTGATTGGCCAAAATAGAAATAGGCAATTCCATCTATCACTAAATATGAAGTGTGGGATATTGAACCTATAGCTCAAACACCAAATTCCAAATGTTAAGTATGAAGGTTACGAATTGGTGTTTGTGAAGTGAAATAAGATCAATAATATGACATAAGGTTTCCTGGGAGAGACATGGTTTTAGTCTCGCATCTCATCGTAGATGCATCCACTTTTCTATAAGTGCAGTTGTTATTTAAACGTGAAACTTATAGCATGTGTTAAATGCATATTTATTAAGGCTATATGGTACATGGAAATTCTCAAGACTCATGAAATATTTGAGATATATCGGATGAAGAGACCCCTTGAAGGTTATAAAGTACCATAATATTTTTATTTAAGAGTTAACACTAAGAGTTTGAGTATTTTGAATTCAAATTTGATATTGTTGTAA